GGACTTCAACTCCCAGCCTTCCCCAGCCAGCCATCTGGGAGTTGAAGTCCACTCATCTTAAAGTGGCCAAGTTTGGACAACACTGGGTTAGACGGATGGAGGATAGAGCCAATTCTGACCAGTTTAAATCCTCCATCTGTCTGGCCACTCTACAAATCTGATGAAGTGGGCTGCAGCCCCCCACCCCCACCCCCCAAGCTTATGCCTTTTAATAAAATTGGTTATTTGGTGCTACCAGACTCCTTCTGACTGCATGGGGACTCAGTGGTCCCATGCATGGGTTAACTAGAGTGAGGGGCCACTCTGAACTTTAACCTCAAGAGATGCTGGGGGAGGAGGAATAAACACTGGTGGATCAGAGCAGTTCTTGAGGGGAAAGGGCTAGTCTTGATGTGCAAAAAAAAAGGCACACATTTCAATCCTTGCATCTCCATCTGAAAAAAAGATTACAGAGCAGGGTGTGGGAGTCAGCTCCCTAGAGCGATGTTTCTCAACCTTGGCCACTTTAAGATGTGTGGACCTCAACTCCCAGAATTCCCATGCTGGCTGGGGAATTCTGAGAGTTGAAGTCTGCACATCTTAAGGTATGTGGCTGGGGAATTCTGGGAGTTGAAGTCCGCACATCTTAAGGTATCTGGCTGGGGAATTCTCGGAGTTGAAGTCCACACATTTTAAAGTGGCCAAGTTTGAGAAACACTGCCCTAGAGAATGGCAACACTCAACATGAGGCTCCCAATGGTCTCTCTTGTTATAAAGTGAAAAATAAAGTGAAAATCTTCTTTAGATCCTGAGGACTTCTTGGAGAACACCTTGTTTGTTTTCCTCGTGTAGAAGTGGTTTGCCGTTGCTGTATTCTGAGATGGCTTCTCCACTTCTCTGTCTAGCTTCAGCCCGGGGTAGTCTCCCATCTAACTACTAACCATGTCTGATCATAGCCTCTTTATTCTGATCCATGAGGGCTAGAATCTTAGGTTTGTGTCAAGGAAAGGGCATCATAGGGGCAAAGCACCTGATTCTATATGCAAAAGGCCATGGTTTCAGTTCTAAGCATCTATAAGCAGGCTAGGACATTTTTCAGTTTAAAATTCTGGAGCTCCAGCGCTACAGTCAGTAAGATTGAATTGCATGGATCAGTAAGGGGTGTTTGGAGAATTTGTCCTTATTAATTGCCTTTCTGCTGAGGCTTTGGTATTCCACAAACTTTAGTTTAAGTAAATAGCTTCATCGCTTAAAAGGCAAATAAGGCGTCAGCTTGGAGAAAAAACATAACCACATTTGCTAGTTATCAAACCCAATAATTCTCAGAAAAAATGCAGTTTTGAAAATGGAAAAACCTTGGTGCCGTTTGGATTTGCATGAGATATTCTGAAAGGATTTCTTCTCAGAAAAGGAGCTTGGCAACGCAGGTGGCGTCTTTGCTTCCACGTGCAGGCTGCGTTCATACAATGCATTTGCTTCCTTAGGGTTAGGGTTAGGGTTAGGGTTAGGGTTAGGGTTAGGGTTAGGGTAACATAATTCCAGCAATGCCTAAACGCACCAGATTGCATGAGTTTGCAAAACATGCTAAGCTACAAAAGGGGAAAAAAATGAACCCATCTTAGCATGTCTTTCATATGCCGTCACAACAGTTGTAACTGAACCGATTAAACGTGTTGTGTGCTCACAGCTGCACAGTCAAAAGGAGCCAGTTGCATTTACCAAAAGGGTCAAAGGATCGTTTTTCTCTCTTTTGCGTCAATCAATCTATGCCTTTTGGAGAGGAAAAAATGGCTGGTGTCTTTCTGAACGATCCCCAAAGATATTGCATGAGGCATCACACGGTAAGCTGGAAAACACCAGTCCAATGCAGCCACAAAGTAACTCTCTATATACCAGGAGAAATAAATTAAGCAATTCCAGGCTCTTCCCCTGAATCTGAAATACTTAACCATGGAGGAGAATGCCCACTCTATCTCTGCATGATGTAGCGTTCTGATGTTTTCTCCACCTAATCCAGTGTTTCTCAACCTTGGGAGCTTGAAGAAGTGTGGACTTCAATTCTCAGAGTTCCCCAGCCAGCATGGCTGGCTGGGGAATTCTGGGAGTTGAAGTCCACACATCTTCAAGCTGCCAAGGTTGAGAAACATTGATCTAATCTGTCTCCTTTGCACATCCATACTTGGATTGGAAAGTTATGGATCAATCCAATTGATTCAGTTATCTCACCTTCTTAGCCACCGCATTGCGTTCGAGCAGGACAGCTAGCCTAGTTGTGTTACGTCACCACAACATGGAGACCTTCAGTTGATCAGATGACTGGAGTAACAAACAGGATCCAGTCAGGCCCTATAAAGCTGACCCAGGTTGCTCAGATGGTTAAAGATTGAAATGCTGTTTAACTCATTACCTGAACATAGATGGTTCTGGCTTTGGAATCTCCTGTGGTACCTCTGCACGATTAACTGCTCTGAAGTTTTCCCTCGTGATCAATTTTAGCCAGAGACCAAAATCAGTTCCTTCTGGCTTTTAATGAGAAGACATCCACAAAGGCAGAGGTTTTCCTGTTGGATTCCTAGCTGAATTATTTCGGTGGGAATGCATCTTTCTGAATCATGCTATAGGTGGAATCTGCCCATCGGGTGGACGATCCTGATGCAAACTTTGAAACATAAATGGGATTGGAGAAAAACTCAGGTTTTTTGCACGATCTCCTAGATTCGCATAGCTTTTCAGAGATTCTTCTGCTAAATCTGTCCGCAATTCAGGTGGACAGCGAGTGCCTGGTCCCACAAGGAGAGCTTATTCCTGACAACTAATGCTTTTGTTATATTGTGGTTTTATCTAGGACTGATCTTGGTGTGATACAAACTTCCTTACAGGAGGCACATTGTGATGCTATTAGAGGGCAACAGATTGATGGCTTTTTGACTTAATTATAACAAGGTCTATCCGCAAGGGACGAGAGAATTCTGAGCTGAATTCAGCACGGGCTGTGCAGATTTCCACACTGGTTGTTTGGGAAATTTCAGCGCAAATGTATTCCTATCACCACTGCCACCCCCACCCTGTCCCCCAGAACAAATAATATATTTTTTGGGAAAAAAAATTATCTCCCTGAGACGGCATTCAAACTCCCAAACCAG